TTCTTTACTGCTCCATATATGTTATTACTGAGAAGTGTGTGTTTGTGCCCTGGTGTGCACGGGAACGTGACAAAATTGTGAACCTAAAGAATTACCCTAGCCCTGGCCAGGTGGCTTGGTTGGGGTGTCATTCCATGCACCAAAAGGTTGCAGGTTTGGTCCCCAGTAGGGGTGCATATAGGAAGCAACCGATTAATGTTTCTCACATCAACGTTTCTCTCTCTCCTCCCTTCTCTCTCTCCCTTCCTCTCTCTCCAAAAAATCAATAAAATATCCTCAGGTGAGGATGGAAAAAAAATTCCCTAACAGATTTCACTATTAATTGATTCTACAATTAAGATAAGGCTAATAAGAAAAAGTTAGCATTAAAAAGTATGCTACATGTAATTTAGTGTTTCCTTTGTTTGTTGTGGCTCTCTATATGCCTTAAAAGTAGAGCCTTTCCTAAGAGGAATTTTAATTTGTATCCCAGGGCATAGGGTGTGTGTATATGTACGTTTCTGTAATAAATCCAAACATGGTCTTCTGGATCTTAGATTTTTTAAAAAATAAAACAGTTATTTTCAATCCATGTGCCTCAAGGGTTTTAATAACATGCAGTACCTGACTATTTACTCAGGGACACTGACCTCTTTTCCCTTAGATTGTCAAATTAAAAAATGACAACAACCTGGCCGGTGTGGCTCAGTGGTTGAGCATTGACCCATGAACCAAGAGGTCACCAGTTTGATTCCCAGTCAGGGCACATGCCCAGGTTGTGGGCCTGATCCCCAGTCGGGGGCATGCAGGAGGCAGCCAATCGATGTTCTCTTTCATCAATATTTCTTTCTCTCTCTCTCTAACATCAATAAAGAAAAAATATATATATATATAAAAAGGTAACAGCTAACTTTCCAGTGTAAATAAATCAAAATTATACCTATTTTTCATCAGATAGGCAAAAAATATATTTTTTGATGTGCTGCAGAATTTTAGTAATTTATGTGCACCATGAGATAAAAAAAGGTTGAAAATTGCTGTTCTAAAATATTAGAGATTGACTAATAAGCTCTTTAGTGGGGTTGTGTTTCCTTTGGAAAGATAGACATCAGAGATTTCCAGAGTCGCTGGAACTTAAACTTTAGCTCTGTGACCCAGTAGAAGTTTAGACCAGATTACTGGGCAGCTGGTCTCCCTGGTGCCCCTTCAATGTAACTAAAGTAGTTGCTGGTGTGTGTGTGTGTGTGTGTGTGTATAATTTTTATCCTCACCCAAGGACATTTTTGCATTTATCTTCAGAGAGAGCAGGAGGGAGAGAGGGAGGAAGAGAGAGACACATCGAGTGGCTGCCACCCATATGACCCCAACCAGGGCCGGGGACAAACCACAACCGAGATACGTGCCCTTAGCGGGAACCGAACTCGGGACTCTGGTCCGCAGGCCGACGCTCTAACTGCTGAGCCAAACCAGTCAGGGCTGTTGCTGATGATGTTTTTCTCTCTCTCCAACATTCATTTCTTTTTTCTTTTTTACATTTCCCTCTGTTTCCATCTGCCTTTAAAAGATGCTTATTTTTCAGTAAATAAATGAATAGCTACTGAATGATCCAGTTAGATGGAGGCAGTTGGGTTGTCCTATGGAAATAGTCAGGGAATTGTGGGTTAGTTATTAGTAATCTGAGAAATACAAATATATTCTTCGAATATCTTTTTAAGGCACTTTTTAAAAAACATTCAGCTGGTCTTTTTCTGTCCCTTGTGTACATAAAAGTCAGCAATACCTTGTGTCAGGGAATGCAGGATGCTTGTCACTTCTGTCATTTGCTGTGCTTAACCTGTTTTCGATGAATTTAGTAACATTTTTCAAATGCCAGGTTTCGTGCTGGGGCCAAGAATACAGGGAACAAAGACTCGGCCCCCTCTTTCAGGGCCTCGGCCCCAGATCCCCATCAGGTGCTCCCGGCCCGTGGACCCGTCCGTCGTCCTTCTTTCCTCGGGTTCCCCTCAGATTCTTCCTCTTTGCTCCAGTGATTTCAAAATAACTCATGCTCGTTTTTCACATTTAGTTCCTCCTAGTAAAATAATTGAGCCAGTCTCTCTGTCCTGTTTTGTTACCATGTATGAATTCACACCCTTCTGAGGTTGCTCGGCCTGGAGAACCCTCCGTCCATCACCTCCCCAGGGGCCTCGCGGCTCCTCTTCCGGCAGTTTATTTCTGAAAGGAAGCTCTTCGTGCTGGTAGTGGTGCCATGTAAGTCATGGTCTACGTGCTTTCCTTCCCTAACACCATGGCGAGGAATCACTTAAGGAAATGATTTGAATTAGGAATTGGGCTCAAATATCTACCACAAATAATCCGTAAGAAAGCTGGACTTTACAGGCATTCTCAGACTCCTGTCCCCTTGCTCACAGGGAAGAGTGGGGAAGGAGCATCTAATTGGCCTTGTTAATTAGCTTGGGCTATGTTAATTATCATACCTTGAGAGAGGGAGGTGATTTTTGAAATCTAGGTGAAAGGTGAATGGCATACATTCAACTCATTGTATATATGTGGGCATATGGTCAGCAATGATTATATGTACTCTCAGAATATAAGTCCCTTGAAGGAAAGGTTCATAGTATAGATCTCTTCTGTGCTATACCCAGCACACAGTGACTTTCTGATAAATGCAAAGCACTAAAGGGGATTGAGCTCAAAATGCAAAATTTTTTATTTCTGCATTTCCGTTTCCTTTGTTCATCAATGGCAAGTCGTCGTAATATTGCTGTGAAATAGTGACACATCGATTGAGCAAGAACTTCCAGGAATGTGTAAAGAGAAGTCACTGAGGCCTTGTCTTTCGATTTCTGTTTTGGAGAATGTTACGTGTGTGTCAGAAGATTAGGGGTGAGGCATCACAGAAACCTTTGGGTGAGAGTGGGAATACGGGGCCATTGTGTAAGAGGACCTTTGTATGGTTCGGTTAACAAGTCCAGAAAATGAGAACCATCCTTGGGAAACTAGGCTTCATTAATTCAGCAATCTGCTTTGTCCAATTTTTTATTTCTCATGTTTAAGATGTGAACCTAAGCTTAAATAAATGTTGGACCATTACATTATGCCTGATTTGCTATTATTTTAATAAGAAAATAGTTCCAAAAAAATAAAATAGTTCAACCCTGAAAATTTCTCTCATGAATATAATGTAAGAAAAGGTGTTGGACCCAACCAAGTTTTCATCCAACCCACCAGTCACTTCCCTTTCTGTGAGAAAGAATACAAAACTGGATAGACTTCCCTTTTAATGAAAAAGCCCAAGACTAGGTAGCCAAATAACCTGTTAAAACTGCAACATGTCCAGCTGGTGTGGCTCAGTGGTTGAATATTGACCCATGCATCAACAGGTCGCCAGTTCGATTCCCCGTCAGGACACATGCCCAGGCTGTGGGCCCGATATCCAGTGAGAGGCATGCAGGAGATGGCCAGTAGATGTTCTCATTGATGTTTCTATCTCTCTCTCCTTCTCACTTCTTCTCTCTCTCAAATCAATAAAGAGAACTAAAATTGCAACGTGGCAGCACACACCTTGGGTTTCTATGTGCAGTCTTTCCACTATTGTTAAGTCTTTAAAATCACAGGTAATCATTGTCCAAGGCAAGGCTGTGTGTCTGTTTGGGTTCTTTGTTGTAAGCAGCAGAAACCAACTCTCATTAACGTAAGCAGAAGGAACTGTAGTAGATGGATAGCAAGGATTCATGGAATTGATAAGAAGGTCAAAGAACTAGCCTTAGAACAGACAGGAAACAAGGCAACTCTGAAAGTCCAGGAGCCAAGAACTAGGAAAACTGTGTGCCCACCATGCTCGACTTCCTTTTCCCGACCACAGGGGAATCATGGGGAGGGAGCATCTGATTGGCCTAGCTTGGGCTGTATTACCACCCCTTGCTGGTGGGAGGGTGGGGCCTTCCAGGTCTTATCCAAGAAAGGTCATTCTTCCAAAGGAAATTAGGATGCACTTACTGGGAGGAAGTTATGCTAAGTAGCCAAAAGCAACAGATGGCCACCAGTGGGTAGTGGGAGGGATTGGATGACAGAAGAAGGCCAGTACTCGTTTTCCTTTGGCAAATGAGGGTTAGACACATGCTCATGCACATTGGCCATGAGGGTGTCTGTTTCTCTCCTTCTATATATTCGCCTTCCCCCCGCCTCCTCCTTGCTGTCTTGGTTTGGGCCCTAGGACATTCCTGTTGTGATGTTGATATGTACACATGTGGGGTACTCAATATGAATGTCAAAGGTGTTGGTGGTGAAGCAGTTATACTTTGATCAATTTCAAGAAATGGATTTTTTGGTAAGGCCCTCTTTCTGGACTGAATCAGTGTTTACCATTTTTGCCCTGTGGCACAGTTGACTAGTTAACGTGCTCTATCCCCAAATCCCCAGTTATTGAGAATTTTGTATTTTAAGTATGTTCGTCAGTAGCCATACTTTTCCCTTTTGGATGCTCTAGATAAGTAAATGCATACCCCAGTCTGCTTTTAGTTGGTTGTTGGAGTTGATGTATGCATGTACCGCACTTACTAAATAAGCATTGCTTAGCGATTAAAGCTATAACTTCAAGGGAATATTGATTTACCCTGCTAAACCTTCTTATTGGAGAAATGGCAGTAGAATCCTGCATCTTATTCTAATATTTTCCATCTCAAACAGAGAATGCAAGTCTTTGAAAAGGAAATGAATTTTAATATCCTGAAATGTAGGGAGGGGACATATCTCTTCACTTATCTATGAACATTTAACAACATTTATAGTATCCCTCCTGGGTGAACGGAAAAAAAATGATTAAGTGCAATTTTTATCAAATTGAGTTTTAAATGATGATTCAGTGACAATTCTATTTTAGTCCCTGTAAATCTCTAAATTTCTGTAGCTCTTACCATCAACTTCTAAGCTGTTAGTCTAATCCTAAACCGAAACATTCTGGACATTTTGCTTGTCATTTGGAGTGTTGTGAAAGCTTGACCCATGTGCTTCTCTTCCAGCATCCGGTGCTTGATGAGCCGATCGCGGAAGCCGTCTGTATCATCGCGGACACGGACAAGTGGAGTGTCCAGGTGGCCACGAGTCAGAGGAAGGTGATGGACAACACAAAACTGGGCCAGGATGTCCTGGTCTCCAGTCAGGTGTCCAGTTTACTTCAGTCCATTTTACAGCTTTACAAGCTTCACCTCCCTGCCGATTTTGTAAGTATTAGTTCTCGCATCACCAAAGAGATATACTTTAAAATCATTTTTAACAATACTTGGATTATAAAATCATGAATTCACATGTATTGTTTTTGGTATAATTAGACGTTAGCATAAGTAAATACAGAACATTCAACATAAAAGCAGCAAACAGGATTGACTTTTGTAAAGGCGCCCTCCCTTGAAACAAATAACGTGGAGTGTTAGTGACAGATCTTTCTGAGCAGGTAAAATAAGTTGGGTATGGGGGAGAGATCAAGCGTAAACTCCTCCTTTGGAGAACTTGCTGGTTTTTTATTAGATTCATATCACAAAGTCATTACAGATAAAAACAAGTATCGTTTGTGTAAACACTTGAAATTCTCATAGAAGATGCTATCAGTTATCCCTTTTTAAATGGGATTTTAAAATCACTTTCATGACCTTACATTAAATTCAAACAACAAACTAGCCTAGAAGCGCCTAAAAGTGATCAACAGCTCTCCCTCAGTCACTGGAATTAATGCCCAAGGCAAATTCTTTTCAAGATGTGTGTGTAGACAGAGAGACTGCGAGAAACCGTATTTAGAGAGGATGGGCGAAGGGTCTCAAAGTGGGAGCGAGGCTGAGGGCATCTCTAGGAGAAGTGTAGACGAAAGGACCTTGGGGACAGACGCTCAGGTGGAAGAGCCCACCTCCTCTGCTCCCCCCTCCCTCCTGCAGGCTGTTGCTCTGCAGTGTAACCCAAACCAGAACATTCCTTATGTCCCTCTGGCCCCACAAAGGCCACAGAGCTATTTAACAGCAAAGTTGTAATTACCTGAGTATTAATTACCTACACGAACTGCCAAAGGAGAGTAATTTTCCTGAGTTTATGACTGAATCTATAGTGGTACCCCATTCCTCTGAAACAGTCAGGACTTCTATGTCCTTGACGAAGGTGCTTTGACATACGGTCTGTGGGTTGTCTGAGTCGTGGCAGCGTGGCGTGGCAGCGAGGCCACTGCACGGAGTTCAGGTCTAGGCTTCGCCGTGGATCAGTTGTGTGGTGGTGGACAAGCCCAGGTGTCTCTGAACCATGGCTTTCCCATTTGTAAAATGAAGGTAGTACCAATTCAACAAGTGTGTTGCGAGAATCCTCTGAAAACCAGGGCTAAGATACTGCTTTTTAAACTGTCAAAGTGGAGCCCTGGCCAGTTTGGCTCAGCAGTTAGAGTGCTGGCCTGTGGACCAATGAATCGTGGGATCGATTCTGGTCAAGGGCACATACCTCAGTTGTGGTTCATCCCCAGCTTTGGTCAGGGTCCTCCTGGAGGCAGCTAGTCGATGTGTCTCTTTCACATCAGTGTTTCTTCCCCCGTCCCCCTCTCCCCCTCTCTCTCCCTTCCACTCTGAGATAAGTGGAACAATATCCTCAGGTGAGGGTTAAAAGTAATAATAATAGTAAAAGCAGAGCTTAAACAGCCAGGATACAGTGGTGGCCACCACTTGGGCTTTAGAGTCCAATAGCCTGAAGTCAAACCCAAGCTCAGCTCTTTTCGAACTGTGTGACTTCTCAGTTCCCTTATCTGTAAGGCTGGGGAGGTAATAGAACCTAACTCATATGGTTATGAAACGAAAATTAGATAATTCACCTAAAGCACTTGGATGGTGTTGGATGTTATAAGCACTCAGGAAGCTGCTACTACTTGTATGATTGTTGGTAACTACTTTCCTAAAACAATGTTAATGGTTGTAAATACCTACAACACCTTTTCACTAAAATCTTTATTTGGGCTTTACACTGAAGCTTGTCTTGAGGACTTCTGTCCCTGGGGTAGTGCGAGAGGGACGTCGGGTTCCTGCAGCCGGACTGGTTCCACAGTCAGAGGCGGCCTTTCTTGCTAGTAGCAAGGTGCATCCTGCTTGTGAGGCTGAGCTTGCCTCTTCTGTGAGGGAAAAAGATACTTTAGAGTTTATTATTTATCAAACTTTTATATTTTATTTTCTAGTACTGATACTATTATTATTTCTAATAATTAGCTCTTGTTACTTTTGACATTTTAGTTTTCCAAGCAATAAGTTACTGTAGCTAATTTTTTAAACTTCATTTGGACAGAAATATGTTTAACCACTTAATAATATGAATGACTTAACCTGACGAAACCAAGATCAGAGGAAATATCATGTGCAGTTTAAAATCCTCCTTAAAAATCATTTCAGTGAAACATGATTGAATGCCTATTGGAACCTTCAGTATGAAAGGAAAAGTAGCTGTTTAAAATTTCAGAAGTTGCCCTGGCCAGTTTGGCTCAGCGGTTAGAGCGTCGGCCTGCGGTCCGGAGAGACCCGGGTTCGGTTCCCGCTAAGGGCACGTACCTCGGTTGCAGTTTGTCCCCGGCCCTGGTTGGTCGTGCGGGTGGCAGCCACTCGATGTGTCCCTTCACGTAGATGTTTCTCTCTCTCTCTCTCTCTCTCTCCCTCCCACTCTATCTGTACAAAAAATGGAAAAATATCCTCGGGTGAGGATAAAAAAAAGTTAAAAATTGAAGAAATCCATCTCAGGATTAAGATGCCAGGAAGGGGAAGGAAGAACCCAAATAGTTCTATTTAATAATCAAGCCTTTTATTTAAAAAAATTCTAAATATTTTCATTTTAAGAATAGCATACCTCCCGTTTAGACCATTGTTCTCTTTATTTTGACACTACAACATACAGTTTTCGTGGAGACTATGAATACACTGAAAATTAACTATTTTAAAACATAAAGGATTTAATGTAATGTGAGTGTTCTTTTTAACATTTTATAACACTCTTATTAAACATTTTGTATTTATTCAATAAGGTACTAAAACTTGACAGGAGAGAGATGCTTTCACCACTGAACTCTGTTTGTCTGGGGGAACATTTTCATGAGGGCAAAACCCTCCTTGCTTTGATTATTACTCATAATCACTTACCGGTTGTGTTTCATCCACCCAACACAAAGCATTTAAGATCTTAAGCCAATGAAAAACCGAAAAGACTACACCGCTAATGGATGCTTTTTCCATGTCACTGATCAGCCCAGATGGTCAAGATCAACATTCTCAAATGCATCTGTTAATCTTTTTTACCTTGAAAATAGCAGGCGTAATGATCTAGAAGGAAATTGTGTGTGATCCAGTCACTCCTGCCAGGGCCGCCAGGTGTCTCACTGAGGGTGCGCGGAGCGCTGGGCCTCCACGCGCGAAAGCATCGCCTCCAGTGAAGACACAGATGGTCGCTGCCCTGACACACGGCCTGGACGCGGGCCGAGGGAGCCGTGCCCCGAAAAGAATCGCCCTTTCCTTACTGTTGTTAGAGACCTAGTTAAAATATACTCTTGAGAAAAAAATAAAATAAAAAGAACTTCAAAATATACCTCTGGGAATGTATTGTGCCAAAATAATCTGATATATAGGAAAACAACAACAACAACAAAGCCGTCCTTTACAAAATTATTTATAACACACATGCAAATTGCTATGTGGTTAAGTAAACAATGGTAAATTCACATTCTTGAAAATTATTTAGCCATAAAATTGCGTTGATAAAGAATTTCTAACAACACAGGGAAAGGATTATTATAAAGTTTTTTAAGAAGCACTTATAGATTAATTTTTACTATGTAAAAAATGCTTTTTAGAAAAGACCAGAAGATATATATGAAAATCTTAATAGTCATGGGGAAAAAATAAACTGTGTTTTACAAAAGCCTGTTCTTATACCCACTAGTGATAGGGTTTGAGATGGTTTGTGATGTTTTAAGTGTCTCTGCAAGAGATGAGAGTATAACTGTGTGCTTCGAAGTGAAGTGCGGGGACGCTGGCTCAGAGGATGCCGCAGAGGTTTTCGTTCCGGCCCTCACTGTGCGTGTTTTGGCTTCGCAGTGCATCATGCATCTTGAAGACAGATTACAGGAGATGTACCTTAAAAGTAAGATGCTGTCGGAATACCTTCGCGGGCACACACGAGTCCATGTGAAAGAACTAGGTGTCGTACTGGGGTGAGTTCTGTGAAGTGTCACCATTTCTCCCTGTGATGGGGTTGTCCCCAGCACTGTACCCTCTGACCCATTCAGTCTGTGCTACCTTAACCCTCCGGGTCCTAGTGCCCCACTGAAGTGTTCGGGGACCATCAGGTGTGTGCCTTGCTGCCCCTCAAGGAACCGCATGTTCTTTGCACCTGATACCAGACATTAGCGCAGAACTTGAAGCTAGTGGTACTATGTTAGTCTTCTCCCTGGGTTGTTTTATGAGTGAAAGTGAACAGTTGAACCCCACTCTGTTTGCCCGTTCAGTCGTTTCAGTGAGACGTCAAAGTGGCAGGCTGTCAGACATGCAGCCGCAGCCCGTGCTCTATCACTTCCTGGAGGAGGCAGGAAGGCTGTGTGGACTTCCTGGGCCACCCGTTCGCAGGGCTGCGCTTTCCTGCTCCTGCCGCTGAGCCCCCCAGAAGCGGAGGCCTGCTTATGTCACCAAGAGTGTACAGCGTCCTCCAGAGGGGTTGGCCGTGACATCTCTGGAGAAGAAATTCTGGCTTTTGTTTTACTCCGCTGAATTTTTCAACAGACTAACAAAAAGACATTATGGCTGTGGGGACTTGTCCCACTTAACTACGATGATGATTTTCCCAGTCTGAGCAAGAAAACAGTGTGTATGTATTGTCAGCCTTGACATTTCCTGTGAAGCCTGCTAATCAAAGTATCAGGATTCAGGCCTTTGCACTCTTGCCAGACTTTCCATCTTTCACACCCAAGTTAGGACTTACTGTGTTGTTTGGCTCGTAGCATTTCCTGTTATACATTTTATTTTTTACATCATTTTTAAAACATCTTCCCCTTTTGAGACATTTGCTTTTGCAGTTAGCTTACCAAGTATCTCTGTTGTGTTTTTCTTTTCCTTAGTTTTGGTTTAGATTTCTTGACCAGCCTCCTACTTTCATTTCTTTTTAAATTTTTTTTCCTTTATTGATTTTAGAGAGAGAGGAAGGGAAAGGGAGAGTGAGATAGAAACATCGATAAAAGAGAACATCGACTGGCCACCTCCTGCATGTCCCCCACTGGGGATCGGGCCCACAACCTGGACATGTGTCCTGACCAGGAATCGAACTGGCAACTTCTTGGTGCATGGGTCAACGCTCAACCACTGAGCCACACCATCTGGACCAGCCTCATACTTTTATCTCACTGCATGAGGTTTCCCATTGCAGATGGGTGCCTTGTATTTCCATGACCTGGTCCCTGACTCTGACAGGTGTCCATCACAGCACAGTTGGCCGGGTCACAGGATTTATGCGCCCTCTCATCCCTGGCCCTGGCAGTGCATTATTGGATCCTGACCAGCTCTGTTAGTCCCTTCCTCCCACGACAGTGCTGCAGAGCTGCTCGCTCTGGAGTCACATCTGTGGGGAGCATGACTGCAGGACACGTGGAAGAAACTCCATGAGCTCATGCCAGCCTCCTTTTCAAACTTCATTTTTAATTTTTGTGGAATTCAGGGGAAAGATGAGGACATATTTTATGGACTGAAGCAATCCTCAGTTTTTTCAGGACATTTGTCAGCATTTAGCCTGTGACCGTGCGGGACCCGCCTCTGCTTTAAGAGCGGCCGGCAGAGCTGCGTCCGTCTGATGCCTCGATCTCTCTGGACTCGGTGTCTGTTAGTGTCACTTTGCTCTCAGTGTGTCGTGGCTCCAGTGCTTAGTGAAGATCTCAGTTGTGTACCCTGAGGAACAAACCCCCAGGGTTTTTGAAGAAATGGCCACCTTCATCATTTTCCTGAGACTAGTTGTAACGTAGGTGCAGAGTCCATGTGCATTCCAGGTGCTGACGGAGGGATGAGGAGACAGCAGAGAGATTCGAGTGTAACACAGCGAGCAGAGAACACGGGGAGGGATGGACTTAAAACTGGTGGCCCTGCTGTGAGAAGAACAGCTTTGTGTCCATACATATGTCCAGCACACCTCCTCATGCCCCTTTGTCCGCTGGGCAGTGTCCCCTGGGAGACCATATTAAAAGAACAGGTGTATAATCTTTCCATCACTCTTACTTTTTCGTTTGCTTGCAACGATGTAGCACGCTTGGTCCTTAGCAATAGTACATAACTGCAAAACCGTGCTGCTTTAAAGTCTAATCTTCTCTTTTCTCAACATTCAGGATTGAGTCGAACGACCTGCCTCTGCTGACTGCTGTGGCCAGCACCCATTCTCCTCATGTCGCTCAGATCCTCTTATAAGCTAAAGCTCAGGACCGTTCTCCTTGGAAGAAAAAAAAAACAGATTCTCAACTGAAAGAGCAAGGAATAAGCTCTCTGTGACATCAAAAGCATAAGAAGAGCAAACAGAAACAGTCATTCCACCGCTTTGTTTTGTTTTATTTTGCTTTCAAGTGGATGCTTCATTGGAACTTAGGTTTACTTGACATTACAGCATGTGTGTTTTTCATGAACCCTGTAGGCCTTCTGTTACCCATGAATCCACAGAGAGAGTGACCTTTGGGTAGGAGGAGGCATGCGCACGACACGAAACACTAAGCTGTTGGCACTGTGGCCTGTGTGTGTGGGCCGGACGACAAGTGACTGGAGCAGGAGGTAAACTGCACACACCATTCCAGTGGGAAACGCTCCAGAGCGCCACCATGAGCCTTCCACACTGGAGAAAGCAGCTTTTGCTCTTCTAAGAAGAAAGTCAGAGAAAAGACTTCAGATTCCAAGTCGGAGTTTGCTTTTCACAAAAGGTGAAGTAAAGAAAGCCACCTGTGCCCGCATCAGCTCTGGTGGCGGTTGGAGCGACTGTCTGACCTAGAACAGGAGAAAGGACTGACTGTTGGAGAGAGGGCTGTAGGGACCCACTGTTCTCACATCTTGGCGTTTACCTTGTCTCAGATGCAGCCACAGGTAGGTTAGAGGCGGATTGTTGGTGCAATAAACCCAAGAATCAATGTAGCATCTCAGTCCCGACGGGGTGGCGTTGGCAGCAGCGAAGTACCCAGTTTGATATCGTCCGTCTGACCGGATCTGCCCGAGCTTTCGGCGGCCGCTGTGAGAGGCCGCTCACCAAAGTCTTCGATAAGCTTGAGAGTGTTTCTGTTGCTAAGTTTTTCCAGCCAAAGCCACTTTCTTCTTGTAATAGTTAATACAAACGACTATTTATACTTCAAAAGGCACAGCTGTCCTAGTGGGAAATGAAACCCGCAACAGTTCAGGATGACTAATGAAAGTAATTAGTTTGAACATTTATAAACAACTCCTACATGGTCTAAATTTCTGCATTATCATCTCTGTGCCTTCCAATTCCTACATACTTCACAAAACACCGTCCCAGAAATGAACTCCCCCGTAGAATCAAACCTGCCAAAATGAGGAATTGTTTATTTGTTAGCATAGTTCACTTTTTAAAAACCGTAATTTTCTCTTACTATAAAAGAAACTTTTCTTAGTTTACTGACCATGAACTATGACCATGTCAGATGATGTACTGACATCCAGGATAAAGGAAAAGACTTCTTAAAAAATTGGTCGTTAAATGACAGGAGCTAATCTAGTAAAACAAAACACTGTTAGCATCTTGACGATCTTGAGTACAGCTCATTACAACCAGGCTCCAATTTCCTTTCACTCTCTTATAAATTAATTTTCGCCCTTTCCTGTATCCTTTGTACCTAAGAATATGAAGTGACTTCCCTATTAGGGGTTAGAATGACTTCAGATCTATTTGATGAAGTCAACACCAAGTTACACAAGTTTATCTCTTCTTTTACAAGTTAATTATTTGTTTGAAAGAGTACAGCAGCAGCGGAGAAAAATGGGTGTATCGTTTCTTAGGAACAAGTCTTAGGAATGAGTCAGAATTGCTGCCCCCCCCCTTTTTTTTTATGATGTGAAATGTAGATGGGTGCATTAAAGCTCTTACGATCTTTAATCTTTATTTTATGTCTTTCTTTCATACAATTGAAATTTTCCATTCTTTGTAGATTTTTCTGTTTTCTTTTGCCTAACATCTGAGTTTATGTTTTAAATGCTCTCGTTCCATGACATCATCGCGTGCTGTTGTTACACACAGAGAACGCCCCTTACCTGTGGCTCGGCCCGCTCATCATTTGTTTTTCATTACATGTAAATCCATTGTGATAGCTGACGTTGCAGCATGTCCATCTGCACCAGTTTAAAGCATTCCCTCATTTCTCGTTCCCTTTTCCTTGTTTACACGTTTTGGGCACTTTCCCTCATTCACCACCTTCCAGGGTTTCATAGAAAATAACTCGATACAAAATCAGTTCCATTCTTATGTGACATGTTGAAAATTAGATCCATATAGGGGGAAATTGAGCTTTAAAAGGCTGATTCTAAACTTGATGCATAAAAGATTTTGCCTAGCCCCCTCAAAGCCTGAGAAGATTTAATTTGCCTCTCAATCTACTTTTCCAAAACTTGCTCTTGGAAAATGTCTGTGGAAAACCACAGGTGGGCCGTGTGTGGGATGGTCTCAGTGGTACCCGGTTCCACACGCCTGCCGCCTGCCAGAACAGACCGAGAATGTTGCTGCTTTCTTAGACCCCCCTTTAAACAACATCCAGGTTTTGTTTGTCTTAAATTCAACCTCTTCCCAAAAGAGGAGAAGAAGAAAAAAATCTCGCGGACTTGTGCTGAGATACACCCCCTCACACACCACACACCACCCAGTGGCTTCATTCTGTCTTAGCCCGAGAGGCGACAAAGGGATCCCACCCTCTCCCATGCCCACCTCAAGAAACAGATACAATTTTTAAACATGTTCTGAGAAAACTACCTCAGTTGACAAGATTCCACCCTTAGGATTTCTTCAACTTTTAAGTCTTACCTGTTGAGTGTAACTTTTGTAGCATCTTTAAGCAAGCTAGTGAGGCGTGGCAGAGCAGAGTGCGCGCGCCACTGCGGCGGCCCTCTTTCTAGCCTGTTGCGGTTTTATTTTTAATAGATGGACGAGTGAAATGAATGTAAAGATAATTGTGAACGTGTAAACATGACAATGAAAATTTAAAATGTAGCTTCCATACTTGTGCATAACTCCAAAGTATTTTATTTTTATCAGTGTTAAATAGCTTTTTGTACAGGCTTCAATCCATTTTTCTGAAGTGTGCTGTTTTTTAATGAAAGTAACTATAATCTTTTCACATCCCATGGAACTGCCGTTTATGCATCACAACTTTTTAAACTTACCATATTTTTCAAAACTAACTTTTTTGGAGGGAGGAAAATTTCTGCTTGCTAAACGATACTAAACTGTTGTTCAACAGGCTTATAATTAGGTCCTGAGGTTTTATAAAAATTCAATCTGTAGCTTTTTAGGTTCTTCACTAGAGTTAGTTGTACATAAAAATAAAGAATATAAAGTGACCCCGAAACACTTTTAAATGTCTGGATTTATCCACTCTTATGTACTTTTGAAAGTATTTTGTTCATGCATACTTTAACCATTAAATCGAGTCTTTAGCTTCTCTTGGTAAATGTGAACCATTTGTTTTGTATTGTGCTTTGGGGGAGGGGATATTTAATTAGACCACTTGCCTAAATCAAGCAGCCCCTCTAAATGTTAATTTTTAAATGTCAAAATTTGGTGAACTCTATATCTTGGAAGCAAGATTGCAATATGCTTATATTTGAGTGGTGTTTCAAAAAGGAGAAAATTCTGGGATTTGTTATAATTGACGCTCCAGGAAGACAAATTGATAGGACTTTATATTTTTTATCAATTAAATAGTTATCAATATTATTGTATGGAAATTTTTTCTTAAAACTTGTCCATGTATTATTTTGATTTTTTTTTTTTGTGGCATTTGGTGCAATAAACCTTTTGAATTTATCTTGAACATTTGTTTGTTACATTGAATCTTAGGACTTAGGAATGTAGAGGTCTCATTTCCATTAACTCATGCTGCTGAAACATGTTCATTATATGTCAGATTTTCATCAGGGGGTTTTGGAAATGTAGGGCCATTTTCGCTCGGCAAAGTGATGGGTGACAGGGTCGGGTCCGAGGATGCTAGAACTGTCTTGTGTGGGACAGCCCATGGAATGAAGAATTGTCCCACCTCCGGCATGACTTTGAAATGCCGTGCTGGACGTTCATGTGGGTAAGAAAAAAACCTGTTTATAATGATCTAAGTTGAGAATTTAATTCTGCTTTACATAAAAGCACAATGTATCTTTCAAATGATTTTATTATATGCTGAATTGTCCAGGAATGCCACTAGTGTGTAAATTGAGGGAAGATTTTTACCTTGTAAGGTTCCAGAATTTTAATAAGAATTGACATAATTTGGAAAATATTACCAACAGCTACAGTACTTGTGGAATTTGAGTCATCAATACAGTATATCTGTCTCAGTCTTCATTTTTAGCTGTGGCATTCATGGAGGCTGTATAGCGATGTCAGCATCTCCCTACTTCATTATATTTTCTAATCTAGCGCCCCAATATCTATGTATTTAAAAATATATTAGTTTAAGTTACTTTTAAAATAGTAAGTCTAGTGCATTGTATTGGTTTGTTATAAATTGTCTATGTAAGTAGGTTGCATTATTTATGAATTTTATTTTAGGGAAGTAAAGGGCATTATAAAATATTTACTATGAAAGGGATGAGATCATTGCTACTCATGGTCTCAGGAAATAATATGCTATTAAGTGTAACTTTTGTAGCAACATAATACCATACTGAATTATGTTGTCTTAAGACTAGAGAGAGAAGTAACATTGGGTTTTGCAAAATCCTTTTTGGATTCAGTGAAAAGTTGCAGTGTTTTCTATATTCCTCAAGCAGCTTTAAAATCATGCTGTTGATAAAGAACTTAAACACACACATGCACACCACATTGCTTTTTGGTTCCTGGTGTCTAGACTGTTGTCAGATGCTTTATATAAATTACTTCATTTAATCCCCACACCTGGATGCAATGGGCACTGTGATAGTTAATTTTATATGTCAACTTGGTGAGACCGTAGTACCCAGATATTTGGTCAAACACCAGTGTGGATGTTGCCATAAAGGAATTTTTAGATGAGATTAACATGTAAATGGATAGACTGTGCATAGCAGATTGCCCTTCCTAATGTAGGCAGGTCTTGTCTGGTCAGTTGAAGGACTTCAGAGAGAACAGACTGCGGTCCCCAACGGAAAGGGATCCTGTGTCTAGACTGCCTTTGACCTTGCCTGGGTCTCCAGCCTGCCCCCTGCCCTGCAGGTTCGGGATTACCGCCCTCCACCACCATGTGAGCCAATGCTTTAATTCTTTAAAATCAATCAATCAGTGCACCCCATTGGTTCTTTTTCTCTGGAAACCCCTGACTTACATAAGTATTTAAGCTGTCATGATATAGATGATGACCCCAAACTGGAGCTGGGTAGCCAGAATGTGGTCATACCAAGTAGACTTTGGAGCAGAGGTCTTTACCACAGTAAACAGCACAGGCTTTAGAGTGATCCCTTAAGGCTGAGATTCAAGTCTTCTGAATGTGTGCTGCAAAGGAGATGTTGGAGACCAAGAAAAGCTAAGTGAAAACAACCCTCTGAACCTGGAGAGTATTATTCTAAGCGAAACAAGCCAATTAGAAAAAGACAAATATCGCATGATCTCACTTATTTATGGAATTGAATGAACAAAATAGACCCAGAGACATAGAAGTAGGGTACAGACTGACAAACCTCAGCAGAGGGGGATGGGGGGTAGATAAACCAAAGAACTTACATGCGTGTATGCGGAACTAATGGACATAGACAAAAATGCTGTTGGGGGGGAGGGCGGGATAGGGAGGAGGGCGTCAATGGGGGGAAAAGGAGAAACATCTGTAACAAAAATGAATTAATAAAATTAAAAAAAACCTCTGAGATGGCAAGGAAGGAGGTGACACTTGGTTCACAGTGGAAGAAAAAGCCCTCTTCCTATCAAGATAAGTTTTTGCCACGGGTGAATTCCCTGTAGCTGTGCACCTCTTTCTTCATGGGGATCTCAGATCATCAGTTGTTCCCTTTACTCATTTTCAAGTTCTCAATCTGCTTTTTCTACTCAACGTGTAAAAGAAAAATTCACCCACATTAACTTTTTTTGTGTGTCCCTCTCCCCACCCTCTTTATCCTAAATTTCTCCTGCCTTTGACAACAGCTTTTTCTAGCGAGGTTTGTTTTGCCTTCACTCCTCTGCTTCCTGTTCATTGTCTCCTTACTGCCCCCGGCTCCCCCGCCTCCCTCCCAGCTCTCACTTTCGTCTTTCCCCTGGTAACTGAAGGCTTTCCCCACCCAGGCAGCACCGAGAGCTGTTGAGAGCTGTTGAATCGGGTACGTTTTTGTGTCTTAAATACGCCATCTTGTCTCTTCTCTCTCTGCCTTTTAATCCCTCCTCATTTCTCAGTTGAGCTACCGAAATGCCATTTGAACTCATCTCCCTTTCATGTCAAACAGTTCTAATTAATTTTCTTCCAGGCAGTGTCTAAATAGTTTTTCCAAAATAAAGTTTAATCCTGTCACTTCCGTTTAAAGTCAGCCCAGTAAAATCCAAGCTCCTAGCGCCATGCATTCAAAGTGCACTTGTTGATCCTCTTCCCCCAGCCTCATCACCAGACGCCCTTTGCACTCTGACCTCCAGTCACTTCCTCCAGGGGACTAGGTTATTGTCGGTCACTTTTGCCCTGCCAGCCTGTTCTTCCTAGTCTTCCTCCCCGCCCCCCTTGATCCATCATGTCCTTCCCATTTCTAGCTCAGCCTGCAATAAATCAGTGTCAGATCCTTCTTGTGACTCAAGGTCCCTGGACCAGCATCAGATGCACTGCCTGGGACCTGGAGAGGAATGCGGAATCCCAGACCCCATCCCAGACCCCATCCCAGACCTACCGAACCAGAATCTACATCTTAATGCGACCTGCAGGTGATTGATATGCACATTAAAGTTTGAGAATTACTGCTTTCACACTCAATGTGAGTGAACGGATGAGAGAAGAATGTACCAATCACTGAAATTAAATCCAAGTGTGGAATGAAGGGGGGCAATGGGAATATTTACAAGCAAAGAAATGGAATAGAAATGGATGGTGTTAAAGATGTCTGGTGCATACACGTACGTTTGATGACATTTAAGTGGCTGTTCCTTATGTGGAGGGGAAAATGTTAACCAAAAATCAAGAAGGGAAAATGACAAATGGACCAGAAGATAGAGAACTTAAGAGACATTCTTTTAGTTTTAAAAGGAGAAATTTGGTCCTGGCCAGTTTGGCTCAGTGGTTAGAGCATCGGCCCATGGACCAAAAAGTAGATGGTTCAATTCCCGGTCAAGGGCACAGACCTTGGTTGTGGGTTCAATTCCAAGCATCAGTCAGGGTCGTACGGGAAGCAACCAGTCAATGTTTCTCTCTCTCTCTCTCTCTCTCTCTCTCTCTCTCTCTCTCTGTCTCTCTCTTTCTCTCTCTCTCTCTCTCCCCCCTCCCTCCCTCCCTCCATTCTATCTAAAAAAAAAAACGAATGGGAAAATATCCTTAGGTGAGGACAAAAAAAGAAATTTGGAGAAATATAGAAAAAACAGTTTAGAAATTTTTTCAGTGAATTTTCAAAAATATGTTCAAGAGCATTTTGGGTAAATGTATACAAGAATGATACATACTATTAAATATCATAAATTATATTTTAGAAATATTTCAGTTGTGTTCCAATATCATAAATTAAATATCATATATTATATTTTAGAAATATTTCAGTTGTGTTCCAAACTTCGGTTTATAAGTAAATATCCAAACCCAAGATCCTGAATATATAAAATATTCCCACTTTCAAACCATCTATCTTGAGAAAACATGATACTATGTATAGCTTGATACGTTTTAGGTTTCTCCCGAATCACTTAGTACCACTGACAAATTCTTCCTGTTTTGGGGCCGCTTTCAGTGCCTGGTTCTGAATCTTCCAGCACAAGAACGGAAAGTGTGTTGGCATTTCTGATAAGCAGGGCAATAGCAGCCACTCCCTGGTGGCTCGTGTGAGACATTGTGCTGGAGACTTTACACACATTTTACCCATTATTTGCTTGAGTTTATAACAACACTTGCTTCAGGTTATTTTCACTGGAGAGGACTTATATTAAGGGGGTGGGGAGTATTTATTGGAGTAACATCCATAAAAGCCCTGTGGGATGATCCAGAAAAATGGACTTAGGAACAAGTTTCTAATGTATCTCTGGATATTTAGAAGAAAGCCTCGTTGATACAAAGAGATTATTTTGAGTGATAACAGTGTTTTGTTCCTCTCTGGAAGGGAGATGTGACCAAGTGATCCGTTACTCTCGCCAACAGCGAGTTACACCGACATCAGGTGCCTCTTTGATGGGATGGATGCACTGGGAAGGACATAACATCACTTGTTTGGGGTTCCTGCCAAAAACACAAAACCTGAATCTATGCACGAGAGAACGTCAGATAAATCCAAATTAAGAGGTATTCTACAGAACTGGTCTATATCCTTCAAAATGGGTCAGTGTTATAAAAGTCCAAAACTAAGGAACAAAAAGAGACATGAGGACTAAATGTGATACATGAGCCTAGGTGGGATCTTGGATCAGAGAAAAATACAAAGGACGTTATTGGATCAGTTCATACAATTGGATTATGAACTGTAGATTAGATAAGCGATTTTTCAACTTGCGTGCTGCAAGAATTTTTAAAACATGCAATACCTGACTATTTAGTCAGGGGCACTGACCTCTTTTCCCTTAGCTTGTCAAATAAAAAAATGACAACAGCCAACACAATAACTATTCAGTGTGAAGGAATAAAAATTATACCTTATTTTTTTTGTCAGACTGGCAAAAAATATTTTTTTGGTGTGCCACAGAATTTCAGTAATTAGTGTATGTGTGTCGTGAAATGAAAAAGGTTGAAAATCACTGGATTAGATGATAATGTATCAATGTTAAATTTGTGGAATCTTATCATTGCACTGTGATTATGAGAGAACATCCTTGTTCTTAGGAAATACACCCTGAAATATTTAGGGGTAAAGGAGCATCATGTTTGCAACTTACCCTGAAATTATTTGGAAAAAACCAAGTGTGTGTGTGTGTGTGTGTGTGTGTGTGCGCGCGCGCGCACACACATAGAAAGAAAGCATTAAAGCAAATTAACTGATTATTCTGGGTGAAGAATATATCAGGAGTTGACTTTCTAACTGTTCTTACGACTCTCCTGCAAGTTTGAAATCATTTCAAAATAAAGTCTTTCAACAGATTGTTTTTGTAATGCACAAAACTTTTTTACTTACAAACAACCCCTACAGGGTTGCCCAGTTGGATTCAGTGACTCGTTTAATCCATGATGGCTCTAACCCTGCACAAAATTAGCTCAGTGATGGAAAGTATCTAATCCAAAGCCTCCTGTACACACACTGTCGTAAACCATCTTACCTGGACCCAGCCCCAAATCCACACCACATAAGAATGTCAGCAGCCGAACTGCTCTCTTTTTCACTACAAAGCGTCCCCCGGGTCGGAGCCTACCAAGGACGACTTCCACAGCTCCCTTGGAGACTGTTTCCAACAGATGTCATTCATTGCTAATGAATCAGATTTCTGGTGACAGAGGGCAAGCTATATTCTAGGGAGTTGGCAAGATTCTTCAGTGGAGCAAGGGGACTCTTCAAGTAGAGCGCACGAGACTCTGATGTATCCCCGCTGTTCTGTTACCTTTTCTACCCTGGAAATGTGTCGTACTGGAAACACTGGCTGGCTGCAATGTGCATTTCACTGTGGGGTGTGCAAAGACCTCAGGAAATGGTTGTTGATGCGAGTATCTCCTCTCCCACATGCTTCACGATTCTCATAACTACAAAATATTCAGCACAGATACTGATGTCCCCATTTTACTTATTTAAAAAACCCACATAGGGAAATTATGTGACTTGCTCAAGATTCCATAGGTAGTAATGGGAAAAAACTAGAATTTGGACTGGTCTGTTCTCACTCTGCCAGCCAGTCGGGAAGGGTTTTAGGAAGGTTTATGATTTACCTCCATTTCAGAGCCAGAGCTTTCTCAGGGTTTAGAAATCCGGGGGTGCCCCTCTCCAGGTTACACCATATGATCAATAACATTAGTAAAGACTGAAAACCCCACAACCTCTTGTTTTCTTCAGCTATAAAGTGGGAATGATAGCCCCCTACCCCACAGTGTGGACGTTACTGTGGAAATATGATGTAAGTTACAAAATGGTTTTGATAGGTTACAAGTAGCTGTAAAACCTTAGTAGCTGTATTACTATTGAATAGCATTCTCTAATTCACACATTGAAAGAGCTTGGTGTTTTCTAGGATGATCCAGAAAAGCAAATGATCATACCTTTTCCTTTTTTGGTGGCTTTGGCAGCTTAGGTGGTCTAGAAGCTCCTGGTAGTGCTGTCTTATTCTGCCTGACGAGGGTGGCCCCTGTGGAATTCCTTTCGCTGATGTTCTCATAATCACCCATATTCCAGGCAATCCGACCACGGCTGAATCTTCCTAGCATATCCATAATGCAAGGTTTTGGTTGCCTGAAATAGGAGCAAATTGGTTGGTTCTCAAACCGGGGGGACCCAGAAACAAGGCCACCAGTTTTCATGTACTTGAGATTTGTCTGTTTCTCTTGTGATGCGAGGTGATTTCTAGCCAGAAGTCTCGGGAAAGCTAATGACCTGAGCCATCGGCCAGTGTTCTGAGGCGCTTCCAGGCTCCACCCACTCTGCTTCAGCGGACATCCCGCTGTGGGAGATGGGGAGCCACCTCCCCAGGTAGGTACTTATCTAGGAACCTGTTGATGATGCATTTGCCCTGTATCATGACTGCCCCTCATGGCCGGCAGGCCACGCATGCAAGATACTGAAAAATGGAAGGTGAGTCCAGCCAGTATGGCTCGGTGGTTGAGCATCGACCCACGTACCAAGAGGTCACTGGTTTGATTCCTGGTCAGGACCCATGCCCAGGTTGTGGGCCGATCCCCAGTGGGGACATGTAGGAGGCAGCCAATTGATTGTGTCTCTCACCAATGTTTCTCTCTCTTCCTTCCTTTCCCTTCCTCTCTCTCTAAAATCAATAAAGAAAAAATTTTTAAAAGAATCTAGATACTTAAAAAGAGAGAGAGAAGAAAGTGGAAGGTGAGCTGCTCAGGCTGAGACTCCAGGAGACACACAAGTTCTGCAGCCCAGGGTCTGCCCATGCTGAGATCTTGGGAATTCAGGACAACACCAGCTTCGTGACTCCAGCCTTTGGCTTTGGACGCTGTATTAGAAGAATGATCTAGGCTTTATTCTCTCTCCCCAGTGCAATCCTTGTCTAGGTCCCAACACCCCTAAATTAGAACATTATTCAAGGACTGCCTTCCCGTTACAAAGGGCCAGCTCTGAGGGAAAAGACGAGGACAAGGCTTGGCCATCTCATTTGGAAGGCTGGTGTCCCTTGGGAGACCCTCTGGGGCTCCTTACCCCTCCATCCCTCTCCCTGGGTGCTCAGAGCGCGGGGCCCCTGCCAATTTCCCTTCCTAGAATCTGAGTTTTGTGGGTTCCCAAGTCCTTTGGTTCCGGATCTGTGCAGGTCTGCATGGCTTTCTCTCATTCAAGAACACGTGCACACAACTTACACCTGCACAGTGTGTGGCGGAGACAGCGATACGGGACAGAGTTCCTGTTACCACAGCGCTTATATACCAGGGGGGACAGACAATAAACATGAATAAGTCAAAGACTTGGGAAGTGCCGTAAAAAAAAATAAATCCAGCTAAGGAACAGAAAACGTGTGGCATGCTATTTCTGGGGGGGGGGGGGGGGAGGAGAGGAGGAGGTAAGGCTTAAACAGAGGGCTAAAGGGAGAGAGAGGCCATCTGTCCCCAAGGTGCACAGGGTCAGACACCCCCACTCCTGGAATCACAGAATCCCTTTGTGGGGAGAGAGCTGAGCTCACTCCAGCACACCCTCCCCTGACACCCCACGGCCTTCAGAATACAGCTTAAACCCTTCAGCAGAGCACACAGGCGTGTTTGTTGTTGCTATTCGCTTTTTGTCTGTTTTCTCTTGTTTTTAAATGGTGTACCCACTGGGACCTCTCTGATCTGCCTTCTCTCTCTCTCTCTCTCTCTCTCTCACACACACACACACACACACACACACAGAGCTTGGTTGTGCACTCAGCCGCACTGTGAGCTGAAGGAGCCACGCTTTCAGACCTCCAGACTTGGCTTCAACCTGTCTTTCTGCCTGTAACGTCCTCCCTCCTCCTTCCCTGACAAACGCAGCCAAGGCTTCATGTGTCCCCTTTTCCGAGGAGGCTTCCCTGCTCCTGTCAGGCAGCAGTTTTTCTCCTTCCATCACATTTTAATTCTTTTGTAGAAAGGATTGGAGTATACTTAAATTTGCAGGGCAGCAGGCTCCCTCCTCCAAACCCAGTGTTCCTTAAAGAGCCCAGAACGTATCCCATTCATCATGGGCCCCGTGCCTGTTACCTTGCCTGACACCCAGTTGACAGTCAAGTAATCTGGGATGGATCGGGTAATGAGCCAGGGAGAGAGAAGATCAGAACGGGGTTTCCTTTTTATTTTATTTTTTTTCAATTAAGTTTACATTCAACATTATTTTGTATTAGGTTCAGGTGTGCAGCATAATGGTTAGACAGTCATATACCTTACAAATGTTCTCCCCAAATTGCCAGTACCCACCTGGCATGACTTTCAAGGTGATCTATCCCCGCCCCCACCCCCCACCCTCCCGCCACCCAATGGCAGGTGTGCAGAGATGGATCCCTGCAGTCTGGTTTGCTGAGTTTTGTTATTTACAAGTACAGATTAACAGCTGAGAATAATTTCAAGAAAGTTCAATGGACAAGATACTAATGATTAGAATGTATAAAACAGGCATGGTTAGAATGTATGGGACAGGCATGGTTTATAATTCATATTAGCTTAATGGTTCATAGGAAAACCATTTCATGCAAATGTGCTACATTTTCTTAAAACTAATGTATAATAGCCTGGCTGTTGTGGCTCAGTAGATTGAGCATCGTCCCATGGACTGAGGTCTCAGTTCGATTCCTGGTCTGGGCACATGCCTGGGTTGTGGGCTCAATCCCCAGTGAGGGACGCAATCCCAGGAGGCAGCTGATCGATGAATCTCTCTCACATCAATGCTTCGATCTCTCTCTCCCTCTCTCCCTAAAAATCAACAAAAACGTATTTTATTTTACTAAAAAATTTTTTTTCCCTTTATTGATTTTTAGAGAGAGAGGAAGTGAAAGGGAGAGAGAGATAGAAACATTGATGAGAGAGAACATTGACCCGCCACCTCCTGCATGCCCCTGACTAGGGATCGGGCCCACAACCCGGGCCTGGGACCTGACCAGGAATCCAGCTGTGACCTCTTGGTGCATGGGCCGACGCTCAGCCACTGAGCCACACCAGCGGGACCAAAAACGTATTTTTAAAAAAAATTTTTTCAGTAATGTATGATATAAAAGTGATTCTACTGAATAATTTAGGGAAAAAAATCCTTGAACATAGTTTGCCTTCATTTAAGCGCAAAGGTATTTTACAATCTTTTATTTTAAATTCAGACTACCCTATGTCCCTGAATCTTGAATCAGCAGGAGCCACAGAAAGTTAAAAATTAACTGTCATTCAAAGATTTTAAGGATCTTATAGAAACAGTAGCTACGTACACTGTGGAGAATTACGCACACCAGGCTGAACTTACAAATGAGCCACAAAAGTCAAAAGAGGGAAACCAAGAAGCAGAAGGCTGGGCTGCAGCTGGACTGTGAATGCCAGGCCCTTGGTAATGGTTCCTGTTACACACACACACACACACACACACACACACACACACACACACACCAAAACCAAATTGAGCAACCAAACATTCTTAGCATAATGTTCTTACTGTTAACTTTCAAGGGTCAGATTTTTTTCTTTTTTAAAAATAATTTCAAGCTTACAGAACGTGGAAGCACCGTACAAAAGCCTTTTCCTGAGCTATATAAAGGTATGTGATTGATGTGTACCCATCATCCCCAAATACTCGAGGATGTCCTTCCTACAAACAAGGACACCCTACAAAACCTCGAGAAAGCTATCAACATCAGAGGAACTCAGGAAGTTCACTTGTTTGAATGACTAGCATGTAATCCACAGACACCGTTCGCGTTTTGCCAATTGTCCCAACAATGTCCACTCTGGAGAAGGGTCCCGTTTGGAACCGCCCATTGCATTTCGTTTGCTCCACTCTTCAGTCTCCTGTGACTTTCACGCGGCCACGAAGCTTCCGAAGAGCACAGACCAGTTATTTTGTAGATGTCCCTTCGTTTGGACTGATTTTATTTCTCCTTGATGACATTCAGGTTAGACATCTCCCAGGAAGAATAACACAGAATGGCCGTGGTGTGACTTGTCCCAGTTCTGGTGAGGTTCCCGGAGGTCACTTGATTCAGGCCATGTCTGCCAGGCCCTTCCCTTGCAAGATCACTTTTCTCTTCATGATTAGTATTTTGTCAGAAAACACTTTGAAATTATGTACAAGTTTCATCCCATGTCAGCCTTTCAATGTATTCATTTATTTCTTATATCAGCAGAGACTCATGGTTTTCTATTTTTTTTTTTTTTTTATCCTCACCCGAGGATACTTTTCCATTTTTTGTACAGATAGAGTGGGAGGGAGAGAGAGGAAGGAGAGAGAGAGAGAAACATCGATGTGAAGGGACACATCGAGTGGCTGCCACCCGCACGACCAACCAGGGCCGGGGACAAACTGCAACCGAGGTACGTGCCCTTAGTGGGAACCGAACCCGGGTCTCTCCGGACCGCAGGCCGACGCTCTAACCGCTGAGCCAAACTGGCCAGGGCTCATGGTTTTCTATTTTATTCAACAGGTTATGATCCATTTACAATGTTCATTTTCATGTTGAAGTTGTCCTAGATTTGTCTAGAGGGAGCCCTTTCAGTCTGGCTCCTGGGTCCTTTTGACATGTCCCTAGCATTTCCTTACTTTAAAAAAAAAAAAAAAGGTTTTTATTGATTCTTATTGGAGAGAGAGGAAGGGAGAGAGAGATCAAAACATCCATGTGAAAGAGAAACATTGATCAGCCGCCTCCTGCACGCCCCCTACTGGGGATCGAGCCCACAACCTGGGCATGTGCCCCGACTGGGAATCCAACCAGGACCTCTCAGTCCATGGGACCACGCTCAATCTGCTGAGCCACACTGGCTGGGTCATTTCCTTACTTTTTAGCACCAAAGTTCCACATTCATCTTTCCCTTCCCTAGCCCTGGAATAATCCATTTCTCGAAGGAACCCTAGTTCCTTTGAGAGGAAATGTATTTAGAACTGAAGATCTGAGTGCGAGGGAGGTCACTGTCGTGCAGCCGTCTCTGACAGCATTCCACAGGGTTCATCGGAGGTTCATGCTCGACTCTCCCTTTTCTATCTATAGCTCTTTTCTGCCGTGGGAATCTGGCTCTCATTCCCTGTAACTACTCACTTATTTAACCAGTCTTTTTGTCTATAACCAATTTCCC